CTTTACTGCCCTCAATATGGAGTTATTTATTGTAACACACCATAAAAAAAGATTTATGGTGAAGGGACTTTGCAGTAAGGTGAAAAGATGTTACAGATAAAAATCAATGGCTATACTCCTGGGCACGCCCACTTTTAACCACTTAGGAAAAAGGTAGAAAATAAAAGGGTTTTTGGAGGGGTGTAATTGACCATCCAAGAGAGATATTGTTAGAAGTATATAACAAATTTTATTTTGTATTAAATATGAAATTAAGTTAAAAATCAATGCATTTAGTCAGAACCCTGCATGGGATTTGTATGAACACATTTAGTCACTTGTATGATACATACATATTGATACAGTTCAGGTGTTCAGATAACATGATATTGATCACAGAATAAGCAATACTGTAACAGCCCCTATTATGGCTTATCTTAAAAGGTCCCTTAAGAGGTCCCGACGCGTTTCGCCAGTGGCTTCATCAGGGGACCCAAAGTGGATCTAACAATAAATAAATGACTTTGTTTAGACATACCTTAAGTTAGAATCACAGACATTTATATAGTTAGTTAGGCAATGGCAGGTCTGTATGGGTGGTCTATTTTAAGCATATTTTTGCATACAGTTCATCTCCATAGATCTAGTCGTTGAGTACTCACCATGCAGGGTTAGTTCGCAAAGTGAGGGAGACACTCGGGGGAGCGGAATCAAGGTGACCCCACCGCCACCCAATCAAGCTCCTTTATTGTCACACCTGGGACCTCAGGGTTACAAGAAGAGAGAGGGCAGCCAGGTGTCCAGCCGACTTCACTAGGATACTTTATCCAAGGTGGGATAGATTGGGAGGAGGCCCGACTGTGTGGTAAAATGGTCCTGTTGGATCTGCCTGTTGGATAGAGGGAGTAGCGTATGTGTATATAGGTTACTCCTAGTGTAAGTCCCATTGTATGGGTCTAGCCGTGGTGTCCAGTGTGTGTATATTCTGTTTGTTTTATTTATTTCTAACATCCATCTCCTAGGTTATGTGAGATCATCACTAGGGTGAAGCTAGTACATGTCTAGATTGACATTGTGTATACCGTGTTTCCCCGAAAATAAGACACTGTCTTATATTTTTTTGGGCTAAAAAAAAACACACTAGGTCTTATTTTCGGGGTAGGTCTTATTTTTTTTTTTTTAATGTACAACAATCCACACTTATTACCGGTAGAAGACTTACAAGACAGGAGTGAGTAGCAAAGTTAAGAATATGGTGATCATGGCAGTCAGGGGGTGCCGTACCTTTCCAAGAGCAATTTGGTAACCAATCGCTGGCCAGAATGAGCGGAGCACGCTTTCACTATGGATTCCTCACAGGCGGAGTGCATTTGGTATCACTCCACGAGTCCACATGTGATAGGAGCCTGCGCTATAGAGGAGTCATCGACTTATGCGGCTCTGCTCCCTCCAGTGCCGCCTCGCTTCCTCTAGCGCTGGCTACGTTGGCACCGCTGATTCTTTCCTGCCTCTCCCGCGGCTCTTCAAGTTCCCCCTTATGCCACCACCGGCCCTGGGAATGGTCACAACTAGGTCTTATTTTCGGGGTAGGTCTTATTTTCAGGGAAACAGGGTATATGCTTTCGTGGCTTGACTGTGAATCGGAGTTTCCATGCCCAAAACAGGGGAGGAACAGGCCACGGAGAGAAAGAGGGGAGTACGTAGTGAAATAAGAGGGGAGGAGGGAAGTGAAAAAATAGGGATAAAAAGTGTAGTGACAAATTCAAACATAAAAAATAGAATATAAAATATGAAATGGAACTAAAAACAAAACGTATATGTAGAAAGGTGACCGGTGGAAGTCAAAAAATGGGCGCTTCTATGCTGATGATACCGCATCCTCAGCCAGGTGTATGCACGTCTCTCACAAGATGTGCATATATTAATATCATGATTTTAACCACACCAATAAAGTCACACCCTCGTTTCAAGAATGTTTAACCCCTTGCCACTGACTGCCTTTTAAAGTGATCTTAGTGCAGTAAGCCAGGTGTGCTTCCCAATCATGTGATCGCTGTGATTGGTGGTCACGTGATCGTGAACCTGTCCCTCCAGTTATTGATCATAAACAGTGACCTGGAGCCGTCAGCGAGTGCGACCGCTAGGTCACTGTGCCGGGAGCGCTTGGCGACCATTTGGTCACTATGCTGGGAGCGGTTTGGCAGCCACTTGGTCACTATGCTGGGAGAGCTCTCTCTGTATTGATTGGTAGGGCAGCTGCCATATTCATACTGCCTGCGTCAAGGCCCACTTGCCATGCTTGCGCATAATGTACAGAGCATTGTTAACCAGTTTAAACAGCATGTAAACATTAACAATACCCCTATGTGTATTCTACCTGGTTTTACAGTTAAAAAGTCAAAACAATATCGGAGCATTACAATAGGCCTGAAGCCCCCATGGGACAGGGTCTAAAAATAAATGCTGCAGCGCCATGGCAAATGTAGGTATGGCAGTTGGAGTGACTTAAAGGGGGTGATCAAACAGCACATGTGTCTATTTACTGTACACACTGCACACAAATTACTCCTAAATACTTCTCCGAACAAGGAAGTGCCTAAGGCCTTCCACCCAATCAGCTGAGATCGGGACATTCCCTACCCCAGAGCTATTTGGTGTATGCTAATCAGCACTGGGAGGGTCCTCAAACCCAATTCAACTTCCCATTACACAAGGCGTCATGCCATCAAGTCATATAATAAGAAGATGATCTGGTCACCTAGTTACCTGCTGTTCGGTCACACCACTATGGCTTAATGGAAAATCTGAGTCTTGTGTTGTCTCTACCGCAGTGTGCTGCCTGTCAGGCCCTCCATCCCCGGTGGGGGTCCCAGGAACCACAGGGCAGATACACAAGGCTATAGGAAGTGCCAGATATGGAGGGCGGAGATAAGCACACAAAGTGTGAATGACGTGTTTTTACCAACCACACAAGGCAAACCAAACCACAAACCACACAAAGCAAACAATCAAACAATGAAGGAGGAATGCTTTCCAAGAAGTGATTATTGTGGCAACAGATAGATACAACTTTTTCCTCTTCTGCATGCAGACTTTGGCGCCTCTTATATTGCTCCTTTACTCTGAAGAAGGTGGCAGAAGAACGCGGCAAAATGCGCAACACAGTTGCGGTGGCATTCATTCTTAAAGTGACATTAAACTCTCAGATTTTTTAACATAAAACTACAAAGGGCTGAGGACTCTGTCCCCAATTCCATATGACAATGTTGGGTATCTAGAGCTGAGGGCTCTCTCCCCACTTCCATATACCCCCCAACCCGCCCCACCTATAGACTTTAGTGGGGTTCACAGCTATGTTGGGGCTTTGTGGATGTCAAGCAAGTTCTGACGAACCTCCTACAAATCAAACCCAGGCAGATTCACTCATCCATACAGGTGAACCAGTTGCTTTGCCCTTCTTTTTCACTTAATTTTGTCCAGGACAGCGTCACACAGCCCGGCCTCACCTGCAAAAAAACATGCGCAGAGTGACAGGACCTTATAACTAGGATCACACTGATGCCTCCATTGCTACAGAGTAAGATGGACAAGACATCTTGCGTGTCTGCCCCCGTTCATCTTGCACCTGTCGCATTTTTGAGGCACGGTTCCAACTTTCCAGGCAGCCAATCATTTTGGCAAGGGGATCCTGGATAGAGCACGCTGCCCTGATACAGCACATCCATTTTTCCATTAAGGATTAGCAGGAGGAGTAGTCTTAAAAAGTCTTGTAGGGTTGCAGGGACCATCTGTTATTGATATGATGCAGTTCATATGGACCTGAGTGATATATGATCCCCTGCAACACTGGACTGCAAGAAGCACTGACGGCTCGGAGTTATGTGAGAGCCGAAAATAGTGGCGCTGATTATACGCAGGAGGAAATTAGCAACAACTGACAAACCCTTTACAGGGCATAGTTTCTTATATATATATATATACTGTATACTGTATATACAATGTAATACTTCAAAATTCATAAAAATATTTTGGAATGTATGATACTTTCTGGATGGCACACTTCAGTTTGATCCTGACCTCTTATGCACCAATACTGTATGTTACCCCCCCCCTATCTTCCTTCTTAATCTTGGGGTCCCCCCACCCACTTCTTGACCCTATGGTTCCCAGCTACCGCCTTGTCCTCCCCATCCCTTCTTGTACTTGGGGTCCCCCTATTCTGTCCCCCCCACTCCTTCTTAAACTTGGGGTCCCTCCAACTCTATCCTCCCACACCCTCTTGGCATAGGGCCCCCCCTACACTTTGCTTCCCACACCCTTTTTGACCTTTGAGTCCCCCAACCCTGTCCACCCTGACCCTTCTTGACTTTGGGTCCTTCCCAGTCTGTCCTCACCACCCCCTTCTTGACCTTGGGGTCCCCCAACCCTGTCCTCCCAGACCATCCTTGACCTTGTGTCCCGCCCAGCCTGTCCTCCCCAACCCCTTCTTGACTTGGGGGTCTCTACCCTGTCCACCTAGACCCTTCTTGAGCCCCCCAAACCTGTCCTCCCCACCCCTGACCCTTCTTGACCCTCGGGTTCCCCCCGGCCTGTCCTCCCAACCCCCTTCTTGACCTTGGTGTCCCCCAACCCTGTCCTCCCCGACCCTTCTCAACCTTGGGGTTCCCCCCACCCCATGTTCTTTTATTCCTTAAGCACGCTGATGCTATATTGGCAGACCCAGATGAGGCATTTTACTGATTATTTGTATATGATGTATATCTACGGAATGCTCCCTTTCTCTTCTGGAAAGTTGAAACACTGTGATCCCGGTACTACCATGTTATTGGCTTGTTTTATTGCTGTGCTGTTGTTATTGATGCCATTTGAATTTCAGATTTGTAATCAAATTTTAAAAAACTATTGAACAAAACAAAAAATATTTTGGAAATCA